ACATCTGCATTTGTAGAAGGGATTTGTGTGAGTGTAATTAAGTTAGTTAAAAAAAGCCCACCTTTAACACTTAATAGAAGCACTTCCACAGGGACAAAAAGTGTATTTACAAGCCTAAAGTGGAATATAAAGTAGAATGCATGGAGAAACATCAATTTAATTAAAGGCTTTTTAATGAATGCATTTACTGTGCAATTACAGTGGTGCAATTTCTGTGCGTTAACCCAAGCCCCCCACTGATTCTCCAGGTATGACATAGGGTGAGGTACTTGTAAAATGAGGGAAATAAATATCCCCTTTTGGTAAGCTTCTGAGAGCCTCAAATAGAAGGGACTATGCAAGAGTAAGGTATGATTATTACTGTTTTACTCATCCAGCAGTAAGTTACACAACAAAACATCAAAAGCCCCTTTGAAAATGTACATTTCCCAACAAGCTGTAGGAGGAAGCTTAAATTACTTTTCTCAAAGCGAGTAGCTCACTGTGAAACCAGCTGCTCCGAGTGTGAGTCAGCAGCCTTCCCAGAGTCAAACCCACCAGCACCTTTCTAAATTCACCCTCGTTAAAAATTTGATGATCCTGGTAGAAGTCCCTCAGGTACTTGCCAAGCAGCGCTGTTGATACAAGGAGGAAAAAAAAAAAAAAAACCCACAAGAAAAATCTCTTTTCATTGCAGTTACTTTGAAGAGAGGATGGAAGTCATTTTTCATTATTTCAGTTACTAATCCCAGCAGGTTTGCTTCATTATCTGATGAAAATGTCCTTTCTCATTGTTTGAAGGCATAGTCAGAGGGACCAGTGTGAAAGCCAACTTTCTAAAGCAATACCTGCGCTCTTGTGCCAGGAGCATGGCAATAACCCTACCTCCTGCCCAGCCACCACCACCAGCACATGGTTGCAAGCCTTCCGCTTACTGCTGCCACTGCAATGCCCCCTGCCTTTTGGAAGAGCGCTTTCATGACAAAGGATTGTTTAAAAGTAGTTTTATTCTAAAAAGTCCTGTGCAAATGGCAGAAGGTGTCTGTAGTTGCCACGTTTGAGTGATCTCCGACAAATGCGCTTAATCTGCAAGTGTGAATGGAGCTGGCGTTTGAGCAGCGGATGGCTGGGGTTGCCAGCTTGGCTGGGATGCTGAAAGTCAACCCAAGGTAAGGTCTCTGCTAGCTTCAGCCAGGGAAGCCTGCCCACACACAGTCAGCAAGCAGGGTTGTATGACCACCACAGCATAGCTTGTGTATTGCCGTCACCTCAGCAAGGACTTTATTTTGGCCACATATCCATCTACTGCCAGGCTGGTCAGCTGTGACTCTTGGCCCTCAGCAAAAAATTGGCATGCCCGTGACTCAAACGCATGGCATCTCACTCAGCAGCCCCTGACCTTTCCGCCTTGGCCATGCCTTCCTTCTGTGTAAAACCCACATGTTTTTCAGGCTGATACTTGTGCAAGCCAGTCTATGTTTGCACAGAAACAGTTGGCTGGAGTTGGGTGCTTGGTTCAGTTTGCAGAACACGCAGGAGAATAAAATCAAGCTCACTTTACTAAGCACGTTGGTTTGCGAGGCTAATGGAAGCAGCAAGCAGTATCCTCGCCTCATCCAACTCTTCAATAGACGTGCCTTTGAATACACACACAAAACATTTCTGCTGAAGAAATTGGTGTCACTCTTATGTAGCTGCAAGGATGCTCTCTGTAGTTATCAGTAAGATAATCTGTGCAAACTTGTAAGATGCAAATAAGTATTTGTGACAAACAGGGCCTATGGAGAGGTTGCAATGAGGTAAATTTCTTTTAGAGTATTTGAGGACCACACTTGTTTACTTTGCTGAAAAGACTGGAATTCGGATTTCCATTTTCCTGGGAGGAGAGAATGCTTTCAATAATATCTCAGCTAATCCAGTCCTTTTTTGCCAGCTGAGAGGCAGTTGCTAGATCACTTCAGACATGGCAGGAATGACGCACGACTTGAATGCAAAACTTGCTAGCTGAAATGCAACGTAAGGAGAGAGGAATGGCCTTTCCGGCTGTGCACGGGTGAGCCCGAGCTCCTGGGGTGATGCAGAGGTGGGGGACGCATGCTGCCCCATGCCGGCTCCCCTGAGAACATGCTGGGGCACACGAAGTGCAGAGAGACGTCCTCAGCTTTCCCAGTGGATTTGAGTATGAGGCAAAAAGGCATTCAGAGATGCAGCCAGCTTAAATTCCACCTTGTCCTCGTACCTTGTATTTCCTGCTGGCTGCCTCTTGGTCTCCAGAGACATCTTGCCGAAGGAAATATTGGGCATAAGGCTATAGCTGAAATTGAGGTTGACTAAATATGGGCCTCAGCATTCGTCTGGGAAGTAAGTGGGGAGTAACTAGGGTACTGTAAATTCATGCCCAGACTTGCTGAGCACTCACTCAAGCCCTCAGAAGTTGCGTGCCTGACTTTTTATGGCCAGTACCTGGAGTACACTAGTAGAAGTAGGAAGCAATTATTACAAAAGATTGAGTATGCGTGTTGAGAGTACACATAGGTGAACTTGCCTCAAAGAATCAAATAAATGAACGTAAGAACATAATATTTCTAAAAGCAATTATGAGACTGCAATCATTGCTGTGAAATAAAGTTTTAAATAGATATTACAGACAATATAATCTGCCCCATGATGCCTCAGAAAGAAACTTCATCATCAAAAAGGAGCTTTTCTTGCTCTGGTGTAGTGGGATTGACCCTGGCTGGATGCCAGGTGCCCAGCAAAGCTCTATTGCTCCCCCTCCTCAGCTGGACGGGGGAGAGAAAATATAACGAAAGGCTCATGGGTCGAGAGAAGGGCAGGGAGAGACCATTCACCCATTACTGTCACAGGCAAAACAGACTTGACTTGGGGAAAGCAGTTTAATTTATTACCAATCAAATCAGAGTAGGATAATGAGAAATAAAACCTAAATCTTAAAACACCTTCCCCCCCCCCACCCCTTCCTTCTTCCCAGGCTTAACTTCACTCCCAATTTCTCTGCCTCCTCTCCCCAAGTGGTGCAGGGGGACGGGGAATGGGGGCTGGGGTCAGTCCATCACACGCTGTCTCTGCTGCTCCTTCCTCCTCAGGGGGAGGACTCCTCACACTCTGCCCC